CTTATTGTCAACCGCATCTTGAATGAGATGAGACAATTTTTATATGGCTAGAACAAAAATGTAGGGAGATAAAGGATCACCCTGACGAACTCCTCTTGAAGGAAGGAAATCACCTGCAATGGCTCCATTCCAAAGCACTGAGACCTTATCAGAGTTGATACAATTCATTATAATATTTGTGAACCAGTGTGGGATTTGAATTTCATCCAAAATTTTACGAACAAACTCCCAATTTAACATATCATAAGCCTTTTCCAAGTCGATTTTAATTGCCATGAAACATTTTCTTCCTCTCAATCTACGCATTGAATGGATCAGCTCTTGGGTGATGATGATGTTGTCCTGGATATGTCGTTTAGGAAAAAAACTAGCTTGGAAGGGAGACACCATCTTTCCATTAGGGGCTTCATTCTTTTAACCAGAATTTTACTGAGGATTTTATAAATGACATTGCACAAAGAGATTGGTCTGAGCTGCTAGCACTTTCAGGTCTCTTTACTTTTGGAATGAGGACCAGAAGAGTCGAGTTCACAAGGTGAATCAGATTGGGATTCTGAAACATCATGTTAACATCCTTAATAACATTAGTCTTAATAAGACTCCAATTCTTATGAAAAAAGGCAGCTGGAAAACCATCTTCCCCTGGAGCTTTTGACCCATTGATACTAAAAACAGCTTTTGAAATTTCATCATCCGAAAGATTACGAGTCAGATTAGATAGCAGATCATCGTGCAGAAGGGGCCAAAAAATCTTTGATTTCACCCAATCACGATTAAGGACTTCCTCACTAAACAAGTTGCTATAGAAATCTGTTACCAATTGATGAAGTTGTCTAGCTTCCTTCACCCAAATCCCATCAGAATTTTTTAACTCAAGAATCCTATTCGAACTTCTTCGAGTAGCTGTTTTAATGTGATAGAATTTGGTGTTTCTATCCCCATCATTTATCCATTTCACCCTGGCTTTTTGAAACCATAAGATCTCTTCTTGTATGAGAACCGCATCAAGGTCCTTCCTAACCTCCTTTTCTCTAGATTGGAGAGATAAGTTGGTATGATAATCAACATGATTCTGAATTTCTGCAATACTATGCAATAGGTTAGTCTTCCTATTGAAAATGTTGCCAAAGACTATCTTGTTCCATCTTTTTAAATTTGGAGTCAGATCATGCAGATTCGTTCTAGTGTCTTTCACAACATTCCAGCTCCTAGCCAGAAACTGAGTAAAGTTATAATGCTCCATCCAAGCAATCTCAAAGCGAAAGGGACGATTTTTCCAACCTGTGTCCAAGTTAGACAAGTAGACCAAAATGGGACTATGATCAGAATAAATCCGTGGAACGATCAAGATGAAGAAACTTCGGACCCTTCCATGTAAACCAAGGACCTGATCCTCCAAGATCCAGCAGCTTGCAATTATGAAGAACATTTGCAAAATTGGAACATCTGTTTAAGTTAACTCTACAGCCACCTTTCTTCTCATCCCGATTTGCTATTTCATTAAAATCCCCAGCCACCAACCACGGCCCATTACAATGGAGACTAATGTTTAGCAGATCATCCCATAGCTCCTTTCTATTTTCTTCCCTAGGACTCGCATAAACTGCCGTGCAAGAAAAGGAAGGAACATGAAAATTCTGAACTTTAAAATGAACAAACTGTTTTGTGTGATTAACAATTTCAACGAGACCAGTCTCATCATTCCAGAGGATCCAAATACCCCCTGAGTAACCTTCTGCCTCTTGAACAAAAGCATGCTTAAACCCAGATTTTCGGATAATGTCAGCAGCTTTTTGACCACTACACCGAGGTTCTAGAATCACTACAATACTAGGTATATTTCCTAGTAAACAGAAAAAGCGATTTTTGAAACTGGGGTTTCACTGCTCCCCTACAGTTCCAGAAGAATAAATTCATTAAAAACTATGTTGAACGCAAGACTCCAAGGTTCTTGCATCCTTCATTCTTGAAATATCTTCCTGGTGAACTCTGTCCACCTCCATGCACGTAGAGATGGTTGAGGTTTCAGGATTTTGGATGTCGCTGCTGTTGTCAACTGATATATCAGGACCAGTTTTATGAAATGTGTCATATAACTGCTCTTGATTCTGGTTCAAAGTGCTATCTGCTTTCATCCCATTTTCCTGATCATGTTGATTTGCTTGCATAGGACTAACCGCCATGGGAGTAGCAATTGATGGAGATGGTGGAACGGGAGTATGATCTTCACGATTTTCACTCTGGACTGGACACCTCTTACCCGTGCTTGAAGAATGAGCCGCATGCATAGTAGGAACCGTTGATTTAGTCCTAGGGGTATCTTTGGACTTTTTGGATTTAGTCCATATTTTCTGAGGAATTTCAAACTGAGGGGCCCCCATATGAGGAGTAACAGAATTAATTATTTGATTATGATCCTCCTCATTAATAGGTCCAGCTGTTAAGATTGCAAACCGTGATTGCGTAATTTCCTCCTTATCACCATGATTATCTCCATGATTATCGCTGGTCATAACTCCCTTATTACCATGATTATCGCTGGTCATAACTCCCTTATTACCATGATTACCATGATTATCGCTGGTCATAACTCTCTTATCACCATGATTATCTCCATGATTATCGCTGGTCATAGCTCCCTTATCATTATTCCTTTGTAACGTTTTTGAACCAGCGCCTGGCTGGACTGCACCGGCCGTCTGAGGAGGTTGCCGGCTCCTGCGTTGACGGTTAACAACCATCCAAGGTCCCAATCCTTTGCTTCGATGGAATTCTGAGTTGCCAGGTTCCTCTTGATGAATTTGATCGTCATTATGAATATCGGATGAACTGCGTTGCTTTGGAGCAGCTGAACAATTCTCGGTGCTATGTCCATATTTCCCACAACCAAAACAAATGAGCCCTAATCCTTCATACTCAATTTGTTTGGTAAATCCTTCCAGCACATAATCACCCTTTAATGGCTGAGATAGGTCCAGTTCCACACATATTCTTGCAAACCGTCCTCTTACATGAGCATTTGTATTGCTGTCTACCTTGATCATCTTGCCTAACCAGTTTCCAATCCTTCTAAAAAAAGCTTCATCATAGAATTCAATGGGAATATCCGGTAGACGAATCCAAGCAGCAATCTTAGCAATTCCAGCACTATTAGGTCTGAAAGTTGGTTCCCACTTCCTCAACGATAAATAATGACCCAAAACAATCCATGGACCACCGTTCAACGCAAAATTGAGATCATCCTTCTCACTAAACTGGACTACGAAAAAGTCATTACCAATATTAGTGACATTGATTTTGCCTTTTCTAGCCCATAAGACATTTATTTTTTTCTTCATAAACTCCACCCCAATTTTCTTCCCAAGGAGTTTAACAATCAGAGCTTTCTCCCAAGGTTTCCTCATTCTCTTCCTTGCTCTTTTGGTGCAACTAAAATAAGTACGCCCATCATCTTCCTCCCACATCTTAATTCCTCCATGGTTGACATCCTCTTCCTCAGCAGGTTCCTCCCCATCTAAGTCTTCCTCGGCAGACGCCTCTCCTTCCCATTCATCATCTTCTCCATTATGACGCATCAGAATTTCCCTCCAGGTTGAACGTTGGCCATTCTCATCTTCCATCCAACCTTCATGTCTAGGTATCATAGATACATCATTTGAAAACTGATCTCCCTCACCTTTATTCCTCTTATTACTTCTTTGAAGAATGTCAAGTTCTTCACTTGATTTGCCAGGATTCTTCCCATGATCACCTTTCTCTCTCTCACTCATCGCTCATTCACATAAAAGTGTGTGTGTCATTTTAAAAGATGTAAAGTTGTGTCATTTTAAGAGAGAGAAAGAGATAGATAAAGAATGAGAGAGAGTTGAAAAAAAAAAAGTAAAGGTGTGGGTCCCATTTTTTTTGAGAGTGAAATGATAAGTTGTGTCATTTAAAAGGATAAATACGTTTCTCTTAACTTATACAATATATTATTTTATACAATACCGTGTCAAACGCTGGATAGTATTAATATTCAACCAGGTCTTATACAATCAGACTTTATATTATCAGGTCTTATACTATCATATCTTATCTTATACTATACACCAAACATGTGATAGTATCTTCTGTTCACCGTCTTCATTTCTTTTTCTCTCTCTGGTTTTTTTTTTTTTTAGCAAAACAGGACTAGGACATATTAATTTGAGGGGGATTGAGGTGCTCAAGGACGATTAACTAAGAGAAAAGTAGCTTTACTACTATTATTACTGTGGGGGATGGTGCTTTTCTTCTGCATTTATTCACAAGCATCCAAACTTTCAACCCCGTCACTAGATTTGTATGAAAAAGGTTCAGCACCACAAATTTGACATGTTGGTCCATGTCCAACACCTGTCAATTTTCTGTAAGCCACTTTTCAAATTCTGGAGGTCTGTATAGAAAGTTTTTTGCTCCGTGAGTCAAAAAGCGGCTTTAGTAGTACAAACAAAGAAAATGGGGGGTAGACAGGTTAACAAAATTGATCACTAAACGACCTTTTAGATACCCATAATTATTATTTGAGACATTAGGCAATATATAAACATTAAATTTATTCGAACAACTTTTACTTGGCAACACCCAACTTGTATGTTTTTTTTCCTTCTTATTTACCTTTTTTAGATTAAATTAAATATCATAGAAAACATTAGTCATACTAAGAAATTTAATTGTTGTATCTATGTGACCATTTTAATCATTAATGTTCCATAAGCCCAAGCCCGAGTTACTGAATTGATGGACTAGGCTTAGTCCGAAGTTGTGAGCACATTATACAAATGAGGTATCAACCCACATATAAAACAAACTCGTAAACCCATTCAATCCCTTGATACTCGTTCCTGTATACAAGATTAAAGGACTTCAGTTATTTTGATTGTTACACACCCCAACAGTTTTTATTTTATTTTTTTGATAAATTCATAAACAAAAGCATTTATTCTCTCTGATCTTGATCTGATTACAATAACTATTGAAGAATGAGGAAGGAGGTGGTGGTGGTGGTCTGCACAACTCTTACGGTGGTAGCAGTAGGGGCGTTGTTGAGGAGGTGGAAGCGAAGGAAAGAGCAACAATTGAGGCAAACAAGGAACATTATTCGAAAGCTCGCAAGGGATTGTGCCACTCCAGTAACAATGCTTTGGCAAGTTGCTGATGACTTGGTGTCTAAGATGAAAGCCTCTCTTGTTTCTTCCAATGAAGAATCCACTCTCAACATGATCATTTCCAACGTTACATCACTCCCTAATGGGTGATTAATATTAACTTATATAGATCTTGTTTTGATCACGCAAATTGACTTATAAGTAATAATATATATGCATTGGCACTTGGCAGAGAAGAGGAAGGTTTTTTTTATGGGGTGAATTTGCAAGGCAAGAACTTGTTGATGTTGTGCGCTCGTCTTGGTGGAAAGAATATGCCCATCTCTGGTTTACACAGGGAAGAGATTTCCATCCCCGATGTTGTCTTGGATGGGACTTCTCAGGTTTTTTTTTTTTTCCACACTTTCAATTTTTGCTTTCTTTTCTCATATTTTACTATGTAGATTGAAGAGAACATGTAATGTAATATGGATAGAGCTAACACTCTCAATCAAATACTTATTTTTTTTCTAAAATGGCAATGCCAAAATATGCACTCACCATAAATGTTGTCGAATGATTGACATTATAATTTGGACATGAAAGTTGTTGTGGTTTATGTTTTTGGGTAGGATATTGTAACAACTCATTAGTGTTATTACTAATCAATTTCACTGTGAGATTGATTATAATGATTCAACAGTTATATTTTTTTTTTCCATCTTTGTATGGTCATGATTTTTCATATTTAACATTAAATATGAGAAACCATACACATGCAAAGGTAAAAATAATATTAAATATGAGGAGTAATAACCATACAAAGATGAAAATAAATATAACTGTTGGATCAACATAATTGATCTAACGATAAATTTGATTGGTAATAACACTAATTAATTGTTACAATATCCTTTTTTTTTTTAATTTCTTGATTTGATTGATATAAATCTATGCATTATAATGCCCAAAGCACATGTGAAATTTCCTTTTTGTCAGGAAATAATTGACTTCGTAGCTACAGAGATAGCTAAGTTTGTTTCGGCTCCTCATGAAAATGAGGATGGTGCATCCGCCAAGAAGAAGAAATTGGGCTTTACATTGTCATATCCAGTAGACAAAGCTGTGCCTTTCACAGTCACTACATTTCAACGGAAAAGCGCGAACGACCCAGTTAAGTTTAGTAGCCCATTGTTTTGTTGTAATACAAATATTTTGATAAAATATGTATGTGTGCCTGTACATAGGAAAGGAATTATTTATATTAACAAGTCTTGTAGATTTACACCATTAAATAATTTCTATTAAAATCTTAATTTTATCAATTCAATAATTAAATCATATCATACATATTATAAAATTATGCATATAAACTTGAAGACAAATTAAACATTTATATAACTTTGATCTTATATATAATTTCAATGTAGCAAGACTAAGACTAGAACATTCTTGTTGTGGAACCAGGTTAACAAAGGATTGGTGAAAGACCTTAATCGAGCGTTGAAGAATCATGGAATTAAAATGCATGTTTTTGCATTGGTTAGAGGCTTTCTAACTCGCCCAATTAATTTTTTATTTACTGTTACATTTTCATGAGTGTTTTCCATGTCTCAAGCAATAGTGGATTCAAAAAATAAATACCATGTAGGTTGATGACACTATTGGAGGTTTGGCCGGAGGAAGATACTATAACAGGGACAGCGTGGCTGCAGTTACCCTTGGCATGACCACAAATGCTGCTTATGTAGAATCAGAACAAGAAGTTTCAACTGAGCTTGCACATTCTCCCAATTCAAACGAACTGGTTAGTGATTACTATAACACTGCACATACACACACACAAGCATACACAGAGGTAGAGCCGGCAAAACGAGCTCGGCTCGGTTGGCCAATCCGCCAAACAGGACGGGGCAGTCTGAGTTTTTCAGCTCACTTTCAAAAGCGGGGCGGGACGGACTGACTTATTTTTTGGCGAGTTGATAGCGGGATGGGGCAGGGCGGGGCGGACCGCCCACTTTGCCACCTCTACACAGAGGCAGTCAACTGTGAATTAAGCAATTGAAATGATTCAGGTGCAGTATTGCAGGTAATTAGCATAAAGTGGGGAGATTTCAAATCCCCTCATCTTCCTGTGACAGCATTTGACGCTAGTTTAGATGCTGAAAGCTCAAATCCTGGTAGCGAGGTATCTACTAAAATAACAATTGTGTATTATTTACTATCATATATAATATATTGTCTAGAAGTAACCTCTGAATCTTCTATTTTTTGTACCTCAGATTTTTGAAAAGCTTATTTCAGGAATGTATTTGGGAGAAATTGTGAGACGGGTCTTATTGAAAATGGCACAGGAAACAGCCCTATTTGGATGCACCGTGCCTCCAAAATTGATGACTCCCTACTTGCTAAGGTATATTAATATTTAATCCAACCTCTAAAACTTAATTCAAGTCCCCAAAGTAGAAAATTACTAGTTTCAACTTGGCGTAGAAAAACAAATGAGCAATGCGTAAATGAAGATCGTGAATAATTATTCAAATAATCTGAATAACTTGTTAGAAAACAAACTCCTCATCTATATACATGACTCTTCTATATATATATATATATATATATATATATATATATATATATATAGATAACAATCTTTTTCTTTTTTTTAAAATGCAAGTTGTTTCCACCTCAAATATAGCTATAAAAGCCTACATTTGTGGTGGATGATATCACATGCCATTTTTCTTTTTTTCTTTTTTAGATTTGCGGTGGAGGAGTTTGTTTTCTACCACTTCCTCTCAAACTTCACTTTGCATACAATCATATTTTTGAGTTTATGGAACACATCTGTCTTCAATGGCTTTGTAAAAATATTGGCAAGTTGTTCCTTGTTTTGCAATAGACTAATTCCACAACTTTAATTTTAACTTGCTCTCGAATATTAAAATGATACTTCGTGTCAACGTGTTTGCTTCTATTGTAAGATACTGGATTATTTTCAAGTGATATTGCAGACTTGTTATCAACATATAAAGTGATTGGGTCTTCTTGCTCATAGTGTAACTCATTCAAAATATTCTTCAGCCAAATTGCTTAACATGTGCATGTTGTTGTGACCATATATTTCGCTTCACATGATGAAAGAGCAATTGTTTGTTGCTTCTTTAATGACAATGGAAATATTGTTGAGCCAATATAAAACACATTACCCAAAGTGCTTTTTTGATCAATTACATCTCCATAATCACTATATCAATAACTAATTAATTTTGATTCCTCAAAATATGATAGAATAATTCACGATAAATATTTGCTAATTAAGCCAACTCCAAACATAATATCTAGTCAAGTGAAAGTCAAATACCTTAAGCTTCCAACCAAGCTCTTGTATAGACTGATTTTTTATTTGAATCACCTTTCATTTTCATTCCAACTTCTATCATGTGGAGCTTGGCTTGCAATTTTTCATCCTAAACTTACTCAAAATTTCTTCTGCATATTTCTTTTGTGATATGAAAATTCCTTCTTTCATTTGTTTCACTTCAACTCCAAGAAAATAAGACATTTCTCAAATATCTGTCACTTGAAACTCTTTAGTCATAGCTTTCTTGAATTCATCAAACATACTTAGATTATTTTCTGTGAAAATCATATCATCCACATATAGGCACACGATAATTATATCTCTATCTCCATTCATCTTCATGTATAAAGAATGTTCGTGCGGACTTTTCACAAATCCATTCTTATGAAAGTATTCATCCACTTTTGTCTTCCATGCTCTCAGAGCTTGCTTCAATACATAAAGCACCTTTTTCAGCCGAAAAACTTTATCTTCTTTTTCTTTTTTAATATAACCTGATGGTTGCTCGATGTAGACTTCTTTTTCCAAGTAACCATTGAAAAAGGCTGATTTTACATCCATCTAGTATATCTTTCACTTCTTTTGTGATGCAATTTCTATAAGAAGTGGATAATGTTAATTCTTGCAACTAGGACAAAAATCTCTTTATAGTCAACTCCATATTTTTGCTTATATCCTTTAGCCACCAATATTGCTTTGTACTTCTCCACTTTTCCTTCTTTATCGATCTTTGTCTTGTAGACCCACTTTGCTTCAATTGTCTTGTGACCTTTGGGTATAGTTGTAAGCTCCCACATATCATTTCTATTGATTGCAGCATGTTCTTGATTCATTTTTTTCTTGCACTTTTCATCTTGTATAGCTTGCTCATATGTCACCGGATCAAATTATGTTATTAAGAAAAATAATAAATAATCAAATTTTGTTTGTACCTCATCTATAAGATCATATATGTCACTTAAACTTATCATCTTTGTCGGTACTCCCCATGAATTTATGTTGTTGTTTCTTGATGTTGATGGTATTGAGATAAGAGCTGTTGGAGTAGAGCTTGGTGGAGAAATTTGATCATTTTCTTCTACATCTATCTGCTCTATTGAGTTATCTTCATCTTTAAAGAATAGGCCTTCAACTTTCTTTTCTTCATCACTCCATCTCTAATAATCAGCTTCATCAAACTCTACATCTCGTGAGATGATTACCTTCTTGGTTAGAGGATTATACAATCTAAATGTTTTTCTTTTATGCTCGTAGCCAATGAAAATGAATTTCTCTCCTTTGTTATCTAACTTCTTTCTTTCCTGAATTAGAATGTGGGTATATGTCATGCAATCAAAGATTCTTAAATGGCTTATTTCTGGTTTCTTACCACTTAAAGCTTTATTTGGTGTCTTGAACTTAACACATTTTGTGGGACATTGATTTAGTAGATAGGCAGCACATTGAACAGCTTCAGCCCAAAGTGTTCTTGGTAGATGTTTTTCCTTTACCATGTTCCTTGCCATATCAAAGAATTGTAGCTATTTTGTTGTGGAGTGTAGGCAACTATCAATTGATGGATTAATACATGTTGTCTGTAGAAATCTTTAAACAATTTAGAAGTATATTCATTTCCTTTATTGGATTCTAAGTATCTTCAGATACTAACCACTTTGCTTTTCTGCTAGAGGTGGCAATATGGGTTGAACCCGACGGGTCAACCCGCCAACCCGCCAAAACGGGGCGGGTTGGGTTACACTTTTCAACCCACCAACCCACCTCAACCCGCCCCGTTTAGTAGTGGGTTAAAATGGGTTGGTGGCGGGTCGGGTCGGGTTGGCCCGCGGGTCAGTTTTTTTTTTTTTTTTTACTATTAGGTAGCATTTTATTTGTCACTAAGCTTTTGTGATATACATTTTTTTTTTATTTTAGTACTCTCCTAGAAAAATAAAGAAAAAAAACTTTACTTATGACAAAGATTATCCATATATAGAGGCAAAATTAAGTTTTTAAAAAATATTTGACTGAATATTAGCGTATATTTAGGCTTGAGATTGAAAAAAATTAAGGGAAATGTGAAATAAAAATAAGTAATATTATAAAATTAATAAATTATAATTTATTATTATTTTTTAATTATTTTTTGTTTTTTAGGCTGGTTGACCCGCCAACCCACCTCAAAACGGGGTGGGTTGATGTTTCCAACCCACCATCAAATGGCGGGTCAACCCGCCCTGCCCCGCTTTTGGCGGGTTGAAGGCGGGTCGGGGCGGGTCGGCCCGTTTTGCCACCTCTATTTTCTGCCATTGCTTTAAATTCCTTGAATTTATCAAAGGCTTGTAATTTTTCTTTGAAGATAGACACCTAAGCTTTTCTACTGAAATCATCAATAAATGTGATATAGTACATGTTTCCTCCAAGTGATAATATCAAACGGACTAGTTATATCTGAGTGAACTAGTTGCAATGATCTTCTAGCTCTCCATGACTTGCCAACTTCAAAACTTTGTCTATGTTTCTTTCCTTTTCATATAGCTTTCACAAGACTGATACTAACCATTCTTGCTTTTGACAATAGCTTCAAGCTAGTGAATCCAAGATAGTCAAATTTGAGATGCCACAACCACAAACTATCTTTTATGATGGACTTCATGCATTTTATAGCTTATGTCTAGACATTCAGATTGAATAGGAAACTTTTTGTCATATCAACATTTGCAATTAATTATCCTCTCTGATTTTTAATAACAAGAGAATTATTCTTCAAGTGTATCTTATATCCTTTCTCCAATAACTGACCAAGACTCGGGAGATTTCCTTTCAAAGATGGGATATAGTAAACATTTGAGATGTATTTTCTATCCCTATTCTTTGTGAATATCATAATTTTTCCTTTACCTTTAATCAGAGTCTTTGATTGATCTTGATAGGTATCTTCTCCTTGAACGTTCTCATTCAACTCTATGAATAACTCCTTTTTGCAACACATATGATTACTTACTCCGATGTCAAGATACCAGACATTTTTACTACTATCTTCTTCACCTTTATAAGTAAACAAAATGGTTGATTTGTCAACTCTTTCTTCATTTATAATAAAGATGACCAAATCTATTCCAATTATAACACTGCAATATAGATTTATAACCTCTTTGTTGAAATCTACCTCATATCATCGGGTCATAAATTCTCAACCTTGACCATGACCATTATGTGTTCCTTGACCATGTCCATGTGTATTAGTCTCAAATATTTTATTTCTTTGGACATGTCCACCACGTCCACTTGAGTATTGAATATTCCTCGAGTGTTGTAGCCACCTCTGTATCCACCACGATTTCCTCTACCATGTCCATATGTAACGCAAGCTTAATTTTCATGAAGTTATAATTTGCTTTGCAAGGATTGCCCTGAATTGCTAAAGGCTTTGTTCAAATTCATTCTTTGCTCGTGATCCTGAAGAGAACATACAAGTTCATCAATGGACATCATTGAAATTTTTTTTGACTTCTTCAATAGCAGTGATGATAATAATCAAACTTTCTTGATAGTGAGCGTGGAACCTTCTCTATTATGCTAACATCATCTAAAGTTTCTCCATTTTTTCTTCTCTTTAGCCACATTTTGTACTCGTGAGACATAATCTGTAACAGCCTCTCTATTTTGCATTTTCAAGTTTTTGAACTCGTCTCTCAATGATTGAAGTTGCAACTTTTTGGCTTTCTCAACTCCTTTGCAAAACTTTTGCAAAGTCTCCTATGCTTCTTTAGATGATTTGGCGTTAGTTATTTTTTCAAAAGTTGATTCATCAACATCTTGAAAAATTAATAAAAGAGCATTTTTGTCCTTCCTCGTGTTTCTTTAAGCATTTGATAAAGCTACTTCAGCGACTGCATTTGCGGGTCCGTATATCTGGTTTCAATAAGTTCCTAAACATCCTCTAAACCCATGAGAGTCTTCATATGAGTACTCCAATATTCAGAATTTGACTTTGTCAATTTTGCAATATGAGGTTGAATCATATTCGCCATCTTTGATAAGACACGATCAAACCGGTGGCTCTGATACCACCT